TAATTAAGGAATATACCTTAAATCATATTAGGGATCCTACCAGAATTTAAGGAATATTCCTTAATTAAGGGATATTGGAGTCTCTGGGGGGTTTAGTGTTTTGGGCCCACCAAGCGGCGTGAGTGGAGCGGACGCCGCCGCGGTAGGAGGGACGAAAGCAACTTGCGCCTGGATTGTTCCCGGAGACTCCAATATTCCCTAATTCAGGAATTTCCCTATAGAAGGATCCCTGTGACTTAAGGAATATTCCTTAACTAGAGAATATTCGTGTCTTCGGGTTGCGGGGCTTCGGACTCACTGTCCCCTATGCCATAAACCCTCGATTGTAAAACCGTACGTACATCCTACACTCTAAACGTATGTGCCCCGAACCGTCGGCTATAAAACCAGAAATGCAGAATCCTGATTTAGATGCTGTAGAGATTATCTGAGGTGAAGGCCCACCCGTCATCCGTATTTTACTCTTGCTACTATCACTATCTCAGTCCCAAAAACAACCTGCCTGTTTAAAGACTTGTACAGGGAATCATAAGAAGGAGCCCTGAAAAGGAAGGTTCTATGGGGTCCAGGTATCGTCTGCTCACCACAGCTTTGTTTTCACGATCTGCGATCAGTCTACGACGACAGCTACTGCCATTTGAACTGCTGCTTCTACTGCGACTGCTGCTACGACTGCTGAACCCTAAACCCTAACCCCTAAACCCTAACCCCTAACCCCTAAACAACTAAACCCTAAACCCCTAAACCCTAAACCCTTCCAGCCGTGGGGGAACAGCAGATTCAAGGATCAACACTTTGACATGCGTATTCTTGTTGTAGTTGTATGTTCCAGGACCCTCCTTGTACCCTCAAAAAGGGGTATATGGTCCCAAATAAAGGGTACTCATAGAGTTTCTTAGAGGGTAGATGGAGGGTCCAAAGTCTAGGGTTTCGATATGATTTCATGAATCCGTGAGCTTGTGTTTCATTTAATGGGTATTAACGGTTCTTATGCCTTAAAAAGATATTATGATTCGAACGAACACTAGGAAATGCTTCTGCCATATTGTTCAATATAGGCGGGATTATGGTGGTGGCGGGGAGGCGCGGGCTGCAATAATCCTCCATCGAGGTCTCTCCTAGGGAGAAAGCTGGTTTCAACACGATTGGAGTATGGTTTGAATCTGGTCTAGCAGCTAGCAACACACATAACTAACATATGCAAACGGTCAAAGTACTGGAACCTGACCAGAAAAACGCAAACGGACAAACAACCTTGAACCATATACCAAGCATCAAATGTAAAAACGGGAGCACATGCCTCCTGTTTGCCAGACTAAAAATCTTCAACACACCAGGAGCTAATATTGCCACCACCACCACCACCACCACCACCACCACCACCACCACCACCACCACCACCACCACCACCACCACCACCACCACCACCACCACCACCACCACAGCCACCGCGACCACGACATGACCACTACGACTACGACTGCAAGTGCAAATGCTACTGCTGAAGCTACTGCTACTGCTGCTACTGCGGCTACTGCTGCTACTGCTGCTACTGCTGCTACTACTACTGCTACTACTACATACAACCAACTACTACCTCCTACGACTGCTCCTTCTCCTCCTGTGCAGGTTGAGATTATAAAAGGTTTACGTTGAAGGTTGTGGATTCGGTCTCAAAAAACAACAAGCCTACGTTGCCAAGCCAAAACCTACTTGTCGGGTGTCTTGGGGAACTAAAGGCTAACCGTTTTGGTTACAAAGGGATTATATAGGGACTATGCTACTCAAAAAGGTTACAGGTGACCTACTCTACTAGTAGGAAAACACCACGTCACGCTTAGTGAAGGGCCGAGCGGGGTTAGGAGTTTGGGATGTTTAGGTTATCGGTTTCTGGGTGCTTCTGTTGATGATATGAATCCTGCATTACCTTAAGGACCCTAAACTATGGTAAGAAAGGTATTTTGCTTGCGATATGGGTAGTGCAGGATTCATATCATCCACCGTTGGGGAGCATGGCCAAGGCAGGTAAAAAATCGAAGATCACGCAACGCAGAAGAGTCCCCTCCATGCCCGGAGCCTCCAAAGCTCCTTAACATTATAGGTCTTCTTAGGGACCATGGGACTCAAGTAGGTTCATAATTGGGGTTACAAGTCCCCTAAGTGGGGTTAACCGACTTATACCCTACATATAACCTTACTTACTAGGTCCTAGGAGCCACTAAGTAGGGCTTGGGGTGTGTAAGCGACCTTTTTCTCCACCTGACGTAACATGCCTTGAATTCGGGGATCCTTGGCGCAGCCGCAGCCTTACCTAACACACAAAAAAATTGGGGTTTAGGTTAGGGTTTAGGATCTAGCGTTTAGGGAAAACACGCTAAAGCAAAAACCAGTATACTCCAGAACCCCGAAGGGTCAACATAAACAGTGAGCCTCGGAGCCTAAACCCAAACCTAAGCACCAAACCTTAAACAGTTTAGCCCTCAACCGACCCTATATCGCAAGACTTAAATTAAACCCTAACCCAGACCCCCTTGGAGGATCCAAAAATTAGATCCCTTAAAGGAATCCTATAAAGTACCCTTGGCAGTATAGGGGATCTACTTTCTAGATCCTCTCGGGGGTCTGGGAAACCCTATATCCCCGGACCTGATACCTGAATAATAGGTGCCGTATTGGACCGAAAAAGGGACCATAACTTTGACAACCACCCAAATTGAACCCTAAACTAAGACCCGGATTGCTGGCAAGTTGCCATTTTCCGGGGATTCTAGGCGCGGAGAGGGTGCAAACGCAGCTGGAGCCAGGCATTTCAGGAGTTTCCGACAAGGAGTAGGGTACCTTAGGCCTTAGGTTTCCTTTAAAGGGTTACTATAAGGGTACCACAAGGGTTCATTCAAAGGGCTCTATAAGCGTAAAGAGATCCCGAAACTTAGAGGTACCCTATTTTGGGGGAGTCGTGATAATAAGGATCCTACTGTTTGGGGTACTATATTAGAGTCCCCTATTTTCGGAACCCCCCCCATTTCGGGAGGTGGGTGAACCCAAGAATCGGGTACCACCGGCATTTTAGGTCTTACTGAGAGGATTGTGGGACTTAGTAAGTAGGTTCTACATCGCGTTGTAAGTCCCCTTGGTGGGGTTATCCGAAGTATAACCTACTTATAACATTACCTGCTTAGTCTCATGAGCCTTTAAGCAGGGTTTAGGGCCTAGGGTTTTGGGGTGGGGCTCAAGTACTCCAACATGTACATAGTTCGGGCCCCAAACATGCAACACAGGAAAGACCTCACGGCGGAGGTACAGCTAAAACGAGTACTTGGGCACTTGCGCATTAACCCGGAAGCCGGAAGGAAAACTACCTCTCTCCGCCCCGACTATAAAACCACAAGCACGCTGAAGCCTCAACCCCAAACCCCAAACCAAGCAAAACTAGTTGGTTAATCCTATAAAATCAACATCCGACAAACTGCAACCAAAATGCCCTGAAACCTGAAACCTCAAACCCTCAGCCCCTATCACTCAACCTCCAATCACGAAGCCCAGCCCCTCAGGGGCTTAATTAGCAGAAACACAAAGGTTAACCCCAAGCCTTGGAAGAGAGATGATGCACACTCGAGAAACGGTTTAGGATTTAGGGGTTTGGGGCTTTGGGGGTTTCGGGCCTGGGGGCTTAGAGTTGTAGGCGCTGCCGAAACCAGCACGTAGGGGTCCTCCTTGTGAGCATCCTACTACTCGAAAAGCTATATCACGGTCCGTTTGTTCTAGACTCGTACTTGGACTTGGGGTGTGGTTCTGCATTGCGATGTCTCCGGACACATTAACTTAAAAAGATTGTGCAGACAGCCTATGCAGCCGACGCTGCTGCGATTACGACGACTGTGAAGACGACCTGCTTTGCTTCGCCGCTGTGAGAAACCCTGACCGGTGAATGCCGTAAACCCTACTTCCTGAAACCCTAACTAGACCTAAGAGTAAGCTAGGAATAAAAAGGGTGCCCTTTAGGGCTTACTCTGGGTCCCAGCTAAACCCTAGCCTAGGCCCTAAACCCGTGTAAACCCCAAACCCTAAACCCTGCACCCTATCACCAACTAAACCCTCGTCCCAACCGAAAGCGCGGCCTGGACGAAAATCGAAGCTCAACTATCGCCAAGGCTTTGTTTACCTACAAAAACCAGGACCCCCCAATGGCCGTTTAATGGAGCCCTTATTGTCCTCAATAGTGGGTATTTAGGGTATTTTAAAGGGTAGTTGGGGGTCTAGGAATTGCTCTGGGTTTGGGGCGCTATCAATCTAGTGGTTTAGGGCTTGAGGGTTTGGGCTTCGTCTTTGTCAGTGTGATTACCACCTATCTGGAGTCAAGTTACCAAACCCAGCAGCCCGGAATAGAGCAGTATTTCATCAACGCACGTATTAGTCCTTCCATCCTGCGCCTACGATGTGCTGATCTTTTTCGTGTGCACTTCCGCAAGCGGCTGATGCGCCTGTCACTTCTGTGCAGAAAGCTTGGGACACCCTTTCTTTTTGTAAGAAGGGGTGTGTGCGTGCGTGCGCGTGTGCGTGCGCGTAAGCGTGTGATTGCAGTGTGACAGAGGTGGAGTGGGTGTGGCCTCCGAACGAACTCTGGAAGCCAAGTTTCTACATCTTCATTGGGCTTGTGGCCTCGGGGCATTGGGGTTCAGGGAGGGCTTTAGGACCTTATAGGGCTTGGAGATTTTAACGCTTTAGGATTCTAGGGTTTCGGCTTGAGGGTTCAGGAGAACCCCTGTGACTCGTTAGGAGTTAGGATTAGGGTGAGCCTTGGGGATAGAGATTTTCTCAATAAGGTCCCTTTTTAAGAGAGCCATAAGTAGGGTTAAGAAGGGTCCCCTTCAAGGGCTCTCCCTGATACTACCTAGGACTCAAACCCTAAACCCCAAAACCCTAAAACCTTAAACCCCACCTAAACCCTGGGACTCAAACCCTAAACCCTAAAACCCTAAACCCAACCTAAACGCTAGGACTCACTCGATGAGCACGTTGTCCGTCTGCAACACAAGCACTTTGGGCTCCGCATCGGGGGCCAGGAAGCAGCCCTAGGTTCCAGGGTGAAGGGTTTAGGGTTCAGGTTGGGTTTAGGGTTTAGGGGTTTAGGGTTTAGGTTGTGTTTAGGGTTTAGGGGTTTAGGGTTTAGGTTGGGTTTAGGGTTTAGGGGTTTAAGCTTGCCGGTTTAGGGGTTTGGAGTTTAGGCTTCCAGTCTGGATCTTGGCTTTGGGATTTTTTAGGGTTTACGGGTAGGCTAGGATTAAACCTAAACCCTAGACTCTAGACCCTTTCTTCGGAGGGTGTGGCTAAGATTCACGCCACAAAGGGTACAACCCAAAAGGATGCAACCTGCAACCTACACCGGCTGGGGGTTTAGGGATTATACGGGGGTTTCCGAAATTTAGGGGTACCTTGTTTTGGGGGTCCTTATAGTAGGGATCCAACTATTTAGGGTACGATATGAGGGTGCCCCATTTGCGGAAACTCCCATATCGTGTTCAGGGGCTCTTGCCCGAACTTACCTGGGCTTTTGAGTAACCAGGGAGAGAAAAGTATAAACATGTATTTCATACTGGTTCCTTTAGGAAAAGAGTATCAAAGTATGCTACTCCAAAGCCCGAAATTACGAATCCCAGCAACTGGGGGTCCAATCCTACACGGCCGACCCAAATCCTTCTATGCTGCGAAGCTTGTTCACCTCCAGTTATACAGTTTGGGATCGTCCCGAGACTTGCACCAAAAATCAGCGTAACGGTTAAGGGTTCTGGTGTGAAATCTTGAAGCCAGTAAGCCAGGTTCGAACCTCGTGGGTGCTGAAGTACAACACCACGACATCCTAAACCTCAAGCCGCAAACATCAGAAATCTTAAAGATGATGTAAGGGATCATCTGAAATTTTAACCAGCATAACATCTTGGGGTATACAATAAAACCGTTCTCACACCCATGAGCCTGGCACCCGACGTCGGAACCCCCGCACACCACCCAAAAGCACAATCCGAACGTCTCCATACCTGAAGGCGCCTCAGCCCTCCCCAAATTCACAAAAAAAGCTAAACCCTGAACAGAAAACGGGCCTTCGACAGTCGCTGGTCCATCCGATTGCCCGAGATCGCGTCGAACCAGGCCTGTCACACCCGAGGAACCGCGAGATTGCGAAGGTGGTATGCTACTCCTTCCCTGATAAAGCTCTCTTACACACTTCTAAACCTCCTACAAAGCCCATTATAAACACGGCTTAGAATGTCTAGAAATCGTAATCTCGCACACTGAACCCTGAAACCGAAACCCTACGGAACACGCAAATATAGAAGCTTGAACAGTCGCGCATCTTGTTCCTTATAAGTCTCCTCATTATTATAAGTGTGCGCACTGTAGTCCCAAAACCTCAGCCTAGTTGTTACGGACTCAGATATTATATGGGTGGATGTCAAAATTATGGTCCCTTTTTGGGTCCTTATTATAATACGGCACCTTATATTCAGGGTACCCAAAAAGGGACCCTAATTTTGACAACTACCCATATCGGCCCCTACACCACCTTTGCATACTGTTGATAATAAAAAGCCTGCATTTCCTTAAGGACCCTAAACTATGGGAATTACGGTATATTCCTTCTTAGACCCTAAACCCTAAACTATGGAGGTGATGCCTTATTATGGGTAATGCAGGATTTATATCATGAACCGTAGTGCTGAGAAGGTAGGGCAGCTAGCCTGGCCATCGATGCCGGGCAGCGGTCCAGGACAGTATCCTTGGTTTCGAGTTCAGCGTTTAGGTTTTGTAGGGCCCATTGTAGGGCTTAGGGGTTCGGGTGACGTATCAACAACCGAATGCCCGAACGTCTTGGGTTTTAGGATCCAACAATAGAGTAAACCTAGACACCATGACCCGGAGAGTCTCTTTCCGCAATACCCTAGCACGCAGGTGAAGTAGAGTCTTGGTTGCTACTAGTAACCCAGAAACTCACCAGCTCAACACTCAAACCTTTTAAAGCCCGGAGACAAGCTTAGACCCCCCAACTACCCACTACGTAAGATATCCTGAATACCCACCATAAAGGAGCATAAGGGCTCCACTAAAGGGCCATTGGGGGTCCTGGAGGAGACCCCAAGATGTATTCACTCAGCAAATTCAGCATAAGAAGCCCGAAGCGAAAGGGCTCCTGACGGCCCGATAAACCCAAAATCCTAAACATGCCCAAACCATAAACCTCTAGACCCCGAAACCCTGAACCCCGTTTCCTTCTTCGTTGCAGTAGTCGTAGCAGTAGTAGTAGTAGTAGCAGCAGTAGTAGTAGTAGTAGCAGTACTACTACTACTACTACTACTACTACTACTACTACTACTACTACTACTACTACTACTACTCCTACTACTACTCCTACTACTACTACTACTACTACTACTACTACTACTACTACTACTGCTACTACTACATGTTAAACTCCTAAACCACAAACATCCCTAAACCTCTAAAACCCAATATTGTTGAAGCGAGCCACGGAAAGTGGAGGTGGCTGTGGTGTTGGCAGCATTGTTCAGGAACACCTTCAGGAAGAGGCTCAGGGGCTTTTGACACTGCACAAGGGAAACTCCCAAATGCCAAAGCCCTGCTGGATGCGGGGTCATGATTCCGGCTTGACGGTTAAAGTCAGCGGTTCATATGGAACAGATATGTTACGGAACTTTGAGCAATAAGATTGGCAACTGTTTGATAGGCTTCGATAGCAGACTCCTAAGCCCGAAGCTGTCGAATCTTAAACCCGAGGCCTAAAGCCTAAAGTTTAGTGACTGAACCTTAAACTCCCAAACCTAAGGTCGGTAAGATTAGAAGGGCTCAGGAACACGACTCTGCAGATAGACTGTCGCTGATGGTCTGATAAGACCCTGAGCTGGCAGAAGAATAAAACACCAAACCACAAACTTTTAGGGCCCTAGGGTAAGGGTTTATGGATTTGGGTGGTGTCAAAATTATGGTCCCCATTTGGGTCCTTATTTTAATACGGCACCTGATATTTAGGGTACCCAAAAAGGGACCCTAATTTTGACAACTACCCATTAAGTGTTTAGGGGTTCGGGTGTTTCAGGGTTTAAGGTTCAGAATGGTTTGGGTCTCAGGGTTCAAACCGGGTTTAGGGTTTAGGGGATCAGGGGTTTAGGGGTTTAGGGTTCAGGGGTTTCGGGTTTACGGTTTAGGGGGCTCCACCCCGACAAGAGTCGATGTAGAAACCCTTGATCAGGGCCGCAGGGCCAATAGTGACTATAGTAAAGCCCCAGATCCACAACTCTTTCTGGGCCGTGGCCGAGATAGTGCGCGGGCCTTTAGCACTCCTCCGTTCGCAAAAGCAGAATCCTTTCAACCCAAAGCCCCAACATTTCGGACTCGAATCATGCCAAAAAGACTCTAAGACGGATAATGCGCCGCAAAGGACCATCATCAACATCATCATCGTCATGATCGTTAGCAGCATCATAGTCTTCTTATTACGATGATCTTCTTATTCATCAGCTCCCTCCTCATCAGGACCACGATCACAATCATGCTTTTCTGCGGCATAAACATCCCTTGCAGTCACTCACATCACAGTCATCATCGCCAGCGTCGTCATGGTCGTCATCGTCATCGTCATCAGCAGCATCATCTACGTGTCGCAACAGTCATTCCACGGTCATATTTTTTCGCAGCAGCCGTTTCGTCTGACCCTGCAGAGCAAAACAAAACTCAGGACAGATTCGGGTCTCTAGGAAATTTTCGAGAGCCCGCCCCTGCGCCAAAACCCTAAACCCTACACACAAAACCCTATATAAACACGCCTGTAGATTAGAACCCCGCCCCGAAAAGTAGCCTCCTTTAAGGGCTCCTTTAAAGAAGCCCTAAAAGGAACCCTAAAAGAACCGCTTCAGGGCCCCGACCCAGGCTTCATGTTTGCCCGCATGGCTGGCGCGGGTGAAGATCAGTGACTCAGAGGAGAAGAACTTGACCTCCCGTTTTGGGGTAGGGCAAGGGCTGAAGGAGGTTTAGGGGGGTTTAGGAGGTTTAGGGTTTAAAAGCATCGGGTTTGCAGGTTTTACAAGGCTTTATAGATGTTTTAGGAAGTTTCAGAAGGGTGTGGCAAGAGGTTTATGGGTGGCTAACAAGGGGTATGTGTTGGGGATAGCAGCAGGGTTTCATCGGGGTTTCATGGTGTGCGAGTTGATAGGGTTTTCTGGAAGGGTGTTTATAACTTGTAACTGGTTTTACGACGTCCCACAAGGCTTTCGGTTTAGGGCAGGAGAGGTCGAGGGTTATGAACGTAATTTGAAAGACTTCTTTTCTACCTCGAAACTTATAACGACTTTGGGGCAGGAGACGCTATGGATCTTCGCAGGGCTTTCAGACATCTTGACCGGGGGTTTTCACGGCTGTGAAGAGCTTGTTTGCGGATGTATCGTGTCCTGTGAAGCTTTTGAAGGGGTCCAGGGTTCTTGGGAGTTAAGTTGAGGTACGTAAGTTTCGGGTGCAGGTTTTTGGGGGTTTCGGTTTGTGGAGGCACAGGGTTGTGGATGTCTCATGCGTCGCAAACTGAATCCCTCGACACTACAAATCCAAGTCACTACAACCAACTCCCGATTTTTTTACTGGAAGCTGGGCCGCCCTAAACCGTAAACCCTCACCGAAACCCTAAACCCGAATCATTCCCAGTCCCTACTTGCTGATCACAGGGTCCTAGTAAACACCCAGTACAAATGTGATAGAATATCTGACAAAGATTTTACTGACTAGTAAACGTTTCACGACCCTCAGCCCCCCAACCCTTTCAAACAGCTATCACAGCTATCAGACCCCAGAAAACAACCCTGTATACAATCCTTATCCTGGGGGGCCGAAAACTTAGACCCCCCAGACTACCCACGAATATAATGTATGTGCCTGAAACCTTGGGCCTTTATTCGGGTTCCTTATATGAATTCTACTGTTTTGGGATTTTAGGACCAGAGTTTCTTAATCAGGTTCCTACATTACCCCAAAGACCCACTATTAAGGACCATAAGGGCTCCATTTAAGGGTCATTAGGGGGTCCTGGTATAGAAGGTTTACTAACTAGAAGGGTGCGTGTGCACAGAGCTCCGGGTTACATTCGTACAAACAAACCTGGGATTTTGACACGATATCTGCCAAAAATGGTTTGTAGCACATCACGGAAACGATTGCCAACTTATCATCATCATCACCACCACCATCGTCATCATTATCATCAGTCATCATCATCACCATCGTCATGAAGATCATCATCACCGAAAACATCGTCGTCATCGTCATCACCATGGTCATCATCACCGGCCATTCATTTTCGCACGAGTGGTTCCAGAACTGCATGTCAAGTCAGTTGTGATGTTGGAACAACTGCAGAGAAACTGCGGAGCAGCTCCCAATTACTCCACAGGGAAGTTCACGAAGCCACCCGGCTGAGCTGGCAACGACACTGACAGCAGCCGAAGGATGATAACGGATGAGAGCGTCAGGGCATGCCAGCCCAGACCCCCGGGAGGATCTAGAAAGTAGATCCCCGAATTTGGGGCCCTATACTACTAAGGGTAGTTTATAGGAACCCCCATTCCAGGGATCTACTTTTTGGATCCTGCCGGGGGTCTGCCAGGGTGGGGTTTCTGAGTGTAACGGTTGATGATATAAATCCTGCATTACCCATAATAAGGAATGTACCATAATTCCCATAGTTTAGGGTCCTTAAGGCAATGCAGGGTTTATATCATCAACGGAATGGCCCGGGCTCAGGCCGGGACTCAGGGAAGCGGCCTGGCTCTTCCCCCGCCCCTGGGGAGCTATCGCCAAAGCTAGCCAAATTGGAGTTTCCGAAAATTGGGGGTACCTTATTTTGGAGTCTCTATAATAAGGATCCTACTATCTATTTAGGGTACTATATTAGAGTCCCCTATTTTCGGAAACTGCCAAATCTGAATCTGGGGCAAGGCCTTGCCGGACTTCGGGGCCTTCAGAGATCAAGAATCCAAGGGTAAAAGGAGGGTTATTAAGGGCCCCTACGTATATACCCTTAATATAGCGATTATATACCCATTATATAGCCCCATTATAAGGTAGGGGTACCCATTAAGGGTCCCTCCTTTTCCTCTTTGAAAGAAGAGAGGACCTCGGCCATGTGTCGTCTCACAAGCAGGTGAACTCCACGACGATGTTAAGGCCCCCCCCCTCCCCCTCCCCCTGCCTTTAAGGTTTAGGGGTTTAGGGTTTAGGGTTTAGTAGTGGGGGCCCAGGCACCTTTCCACCCCGATCCCCATACTCTTGAAAGGCAGCAGAAACCCTGTAAACGTCCTTGAGCACCAGTAAAACACACATAATTCAACCTCGTGGCCCATGCGCCCGCTACCAACTAGAATAGGGTCTAAGTCTAGTCCTGGGTATGATGATAGCTTGAAAAAACGGGAAATTATGAAGGACACATTTATGTGTTCCCGAAATCCATCTAGGCCAATCTAGGCCTCACTGGAACCAGCGCCGATCTTGTAGTCCCTCCGGACGCGGTTCAGGGCGGCGATGAAGAGGTACCTGATGTTGGTGAGGGTTTTTAGGGTCCCTCAGTGTTGCGGCTTTAAGGCTCTGCTGGGCTTAGGGGGGTGGCTTTGCTTGGTGTTGGGCTCAGGAGTTTAATTCGAGCCTTAGGGTCTATTAGGCTTAGGGGGCTAAGGGTCCAATGAATTCTCAATGTTTGACCAAAGGGACGCCTGTTCTCGTGCTCCTCCTCAAACCCTAGTTCCTAAATCAAACCCTAAACTCCAAATCCTAAGTCCTGAACCCCAAACCGTAAACCCTAAATCTAAAACCCGCAAAACCCGAAGCTCTAAATCCTGAACCCTAGATCTGAAACCCCAAATCCCAAACCCCCAAACCCTAAACCCTGATGGAGCCAGGAGACTGCCATGTGTCGGTGCGAAAGCGGCTTTGCCACAACGACTCCCGGAGCCCATCTTGGCCTTGTCAAAGTCCAGCGTCTAGGGTTTAGGATTTATGGCAAGGACCAGAACTCACTCTTTTGGTAGGCTCCCTACATCTTCTACACTAAGGTTTATAATGAATATTCTCAGAACCTGCATGAAATAGCTGAAGGCTGAAGGTATGTAGGGTTTGGGGGGAGAACTCGACGAGTGGGAATTAGTTAAGGCTAAGGGTTATGGGCTGCAGCTCAAATCCGAAGTTCTCCGACCCTTAGAGTTTAGGGAAGAATTAGGATGCAAGGTTTATGGTTTAGGGTAGGATTTAGGGTTTAGGGTTTAGGGCGAGCTTTGGGGTTCAGGGGGTTCAGTGATTAAGGTTCAAGGTTTGGGGTTTAGGCTCCGATGCTTTCCTTTGCCTCTTTGACCAAGTCACCCGGGTTTCCTGGCCCGTGCCACTGGTGCCCCAACAAGCCTTGCTCAGTTCCTCAGCAGCAGGCAGTGTGAGCTCGCTTTTTGATGGGAGGCCAAAAGGGGGGTTTAAGATTCTTGGGGTAGGGATTCCTTAATATGCACCCTATTATGGGAACCCTAATCCCTACTAAACCCCCATAGGCTAAAACCCCTTCTGGCCTCCTATGATACCCTTATAGATCCCTTTAAAGGAACCCCTAGAGATCCCTTTAAAGGAACCCTAGGGATCCTAAACCCCCATAGGCTAAAACCCCTTTTGGCCTCCTGTATGACTTTTGGTCAGGCTTTTCAGGCCAGGGGTTGAGGCTTTGAGGCCAATTGAGGACAACCTGCCACTACCTTAAGGACGAAATGGACCCTAAAAGGGTTTAAGGTTCATATACCATATAGGGAATCATAGTATATGGGTATAGGGCCCCTACTTTTAAGGGTCATGTCGTCCTTGAGGTACTCCCCTCGTGCTACTTCTTAACGATCCTTCATGCTCCGAAACTTGAGGGTTAAGCCGGTTAAGTGGTCAAGAGATCGGCATAAACTTTCAACACCTGGCTCGCTTGTCTCCGAGGTTCCGTAGTAAACAATCGGAATGCCCTGTGCCAGCATCAGCCACACCAGTGCATTTTTGATACGTCCGGTGTCCGACTGGCAGTAGTGCGCGATTCGACCGTACCTAATTCCATGGAACGGCTTCTTGCGAGTTTTCGACAGGGTGTGGCTTACGGATAAACCCTACACCCAAAACCCTAAACTGTATACTATCGGGCTTAGATCCAAACTTCTCCCTGAACCCTAAGCCGGGTTTTCACTGCTGTTCTGAACAACTTTTCGCCTTAATGCGACTTCGCCACACCGCCGTTTGTGACACAAGGCTTGCTCAAAGCTTTTGGACAGCATGTAATCTAGTTCGTGGTCAGGATGTTATTGAAAACTTAAGCTTCTGTTCCCTACTGGGTTTCAGTAACCGTAAACAAGTAAAATGTAAGCCAACTATGACATATGAATAAGGGGCCGTAATGCGAGAATTGAATAGGCTTTTGAGGACTCTATAGTACACAGGATTCTGTCCAAGTGGTTAACCCCTGGTATCGGTCGTTCGCCTCTGGATCAAAACTACATCACGATTTAACTAGCTGCATGGCTTGTTCAACAGTTGTGTGAATAACGATCTTGGAAGGCTCTCGTGAAGCCTTGCATAACAATGCATCTGCTGACGCGCTGTCCATCGCTTTTTGATGTTTGAAGACTTGTACTGTACTCCTTGCATTATTGTTTCAGTTCTTCATTTGCCCGTGCCGTGACTGACTACGAGAACTCATTTGCAGCACTCTGGGGCAATGCATAAGCTGCCAACACGAAAAACGCAGGAGCTCATGTCTGAACCGCGCGAACCTTGGGCACTATCCTGATCACAAATGCTGAACTTTTCATGGATCCTCAAGCAAGGTTCGCGTGGCTAAACTCCGAAATCCTCACGGCATCGACTCCACATCTTTCGTCGGCGTGGAACCCTGAATGTTCGACATCGATTCCTAATGTCTTGAACCCAAACCCGAATCAAGCCCTTCGACGAAAACCGGAGACCCCCGAAGAATCAAGGCGCTCGTCGTGATTGTCGACGAAGTTACCGAGCAAATCCTGTTGTCCCCACTAGCGCTTGTGGTTGTAAGGCTTCAAGTTGAGGGTTTAGGGTTTAACTTCAAGTCCATGGCACAGTTGAGAGTGCAGAAGGTCAGTGTGGTTTAAAGTCAACTTAAAGGGTTAAGGGCCATTTCAAGTCGCGGATTCGACACTCCAGTGTGACAAAATCTGGGACGAAGCTGAAGCTTCATCGTCAGTCCACCCAAAGGCATCGTGGCCCCTCAGCCAGCTTTTGATTGTCACCCGATGTCTCAATGTCTGCATCGCTATGAAACCACCAGACGATGAGGGAGGGCCGGGGAAGGAGATGGCTTTGTGCACCCGGTTGTCTAATACATAATCATTGAAACAGGGTTTTGGGGCCTATTATACTACAACTATAGGAAGGAACCCCCAAAATAGTATTGCGTAATTATTTAAGCCCGTATACTAAACACTCATAAGACCTCTTACAGGTATAGTAATCCTTATAGACCCCATTATATAGAACCAACGCCTGACCCCATGGCAAGCCCTAGGAACCCTAAACCCTACCCAATCCCGAAGAGGCTTGAGGCTTATGCTGGAGAGCTGCTAACGACTCGTAGCGATCGGAGTCAAGCTGAGCTTTCATCACCTCAGAGTTGAGGGTGGTGGGGCTTGGAGCTATAGGGATTCATAGTATAGTTGTATTGGGCCCCTACTTTTAAGCGTCATTTGGTCCTTAAGGTGGGGCTTATTGGTTTCAGCAAGTTTAGGTTAGGGACTTGAGCGTTTAGGATTTAGGGTTTTGGAGGTTTATTTATGGTTCGGGCAACCTGACAGTCACCCTTCCAGTAGCCCTGATAAATACTAATTAGCAAGAGCTAATTCCAAGGAACCCTACACATCCCTCAAACGACCCCTTGAAGAAACCCCTTCAGGATCCCTCTGCAAAGGAACGCTCAGTGTTTAGCTTACCGTTACCGCGTGAGACTTTAAGGCGCAAGGTTGCGCAACTTGGAGAACCGAATGTCGCGTCTACTTACAGGATCATGAGATGTAGTAAGTAGGTTATATCTGGGGTGATTAGTCCCCTAAGTGGGGTTATCCCCTTCATAACCCTACTTACTAAGTCCCATGAGCCTTTAAGTACACTGCAGGAAATGCGGCAGGGGTTTTGAGTTTAGGCTGCTGTTGGGCGTTGGGACATCACTGCATCCTAAACCCTAAAAAAAGCCCAGCCCTAAAAGCTGGGGCACCTGGGCCAGTCCCGTCATGTCGGCTTTGCTTTTCCAGCTTCCCTCGGCCGGTTGTTGATTGGTCTTTCGGTTCACGGAGTACCTAAACCCCCAAGTACCCTCCAACATACCCCAAATACTCACTACTAAAGGCCATCAGGGCTATTAAAGGGCACTTGGAAATCCCGGTAGGGTTCAGGGATGTTCAGGGTGCAGGATATAAAGATCTTGAGGATTGAGGCCGGGGTTCTGTGCTGGCGCCCTTGTAGCACAAAGGATTGTATTATGCAGGGTCTGCTTCTGGACCCTTGGTTCTCTCCCTCTCCCAGATTATTTGGCGAAGTTCAGGCGTCCCGGATTGTATGTGAGCATTGCATAACACTCCACGTCACGACTGTTTCTCGCTCCGTTCGTGACTCGCACCCAACGGAATGTAACGAATGGCAGCCGGTAGCTACATGGGACTGCAGGTGTCATCTGCCCTGCTGCAGGGTTGAGGGTTCCGAGGCACGTGTGGTTTTTTTCACTTAAAAGGCTCAGAGGTTCTTATTATAGACCCTAATATTGGATTTAGGTTCTGGTAGGTTAAAGTATAGCCTACTTACTAAGTCCCCGGAAGTTCTGCTGTTCGGAGCGGGATTTTCGGCTGTCCAGTTCTGCATGGAGTTTCAGGGGTCGGGTCATTCAAGGTCCAAGGTCTAGGGGGTTTGGGGTTCAGTGTTTAGGGATTCCCCCCTAGTTGCTGAGTTCAGAAGCCCCCCCAAAGTGCACACTTTCAGTTTTATAGTGGGTAATATTACCCCAAAAGTGTAAAGTGTATCCACTCAGCCACTAAGCCCCTCTCTCATGATACACAATCGCAAAGCCCGGGGCAGTTGAACCAGGCAAGGCCTGCGTGCTGTAGTTTGCGAACTCGGATTCCAGAATGTAGCCGCAAAAGGCAGACGGCACCTAGCGCAAACTCCGGGGCACAAAGCTAAACCCTAAACCCCCAAATGCCAAACCCTAAATTCGAATCCTCATTATTCCCCCTTAACCCTAAAATATAATCCCCTAAATCCTAATTTGTAATCCCCTAAACCCTAAACCCCTAAGCCTTAAACAACCTTTAGAGCCACACAGACTGATGGAGGACTTGCAGGACAAAGTAAGGGATTCTGTTGAGGTTTAAGGTTTAGGGTTTAAGTTTAGGGTTTAAGATTTAGGGGTTGAGGTTTAAGGTTTAGGGTTTAAGCTTAGGGCTTAGGATTTAAGGGTGGCATGCAGGCCTACGCAAGTCAAGATTGAAGTCCGAGGCCTTTCGCATAGAATTTAATGGACGGTTCTGCGACTGAAACAAAACCCTAAACCCAAAACCAAAAACCAAAAACCCTGAACCCAATACCCTAAACCCTAAACCCTCACCCTAAACCCGAGGTCAAGTATCCAAGAACTCTAAAACCCTAAACCCCAAACCCCTTGTCGCTTGACGGATCCACCGTAGCTACCCGTCATCTCTTGCCGCCACACACACTTGGCAAAAAAGGGTTTAGGGTTTCGGGTTCTGTGTTTGGCACCATTGCTGCCGTCTTTTTGGCCTGGTTTCCTTCAACTTGGTCGTTTCCGAACATAGAGGACCCTGATACAGTACCCTAAATAGTAGGATCCTTGGTATAAGGACCCAAAATAAGGTACCCCTAATTTTCGGAAACTGCGGCCTCACCGAACGCTCATGATGTGCTCTTCAATGGTCAGATTCCCGGGAGGATCCAAAAAAGTAGATCCCTTAATGGGGGTTCCTATAAAGTACCCTTAGTAGCTAGGGTCTCAAATTAGGGGATCTACCTTCCCTTATAGATCCCTAAACCCTAAACCCTAAAGGATCCCTTAAAGGAGCCCTTTAAGGAACCCTAGGGGATCTACTTTCTAGATCCTCCCGGAATTCTGGGCACTGTTTCTGCTTGCTTCTAGTGCCCCTTTGTCCGAGGTGTCTTCGGGTTCCGGGTTGCAGCATGCTTAAGCCCAGAGCCTACACCTTAACCCTGAAGAACCTACCTTTTTAAGGACTTGTATAAGGAAATCATAATGAGGAACCCTAAAAAGGTAGGTTATTCAGGGTTAAGGTATGCCTTCAATTATAGTAGGATCCCTAATATGATTAAAGGAATATTCCTTAATTAAGAGATATTGAAGTCTCTAGTAGTATCCTCAAGGCCCCAAGGCCTCACATACTGAACTCAGCGGTGTGATTCAGATAAACAAACACAGGAAAACAAGCCACTCGACAAAGGCAAAACTGCAAAACAAGAAGCGGTTCAGGGGCTTGTAGACTTTGAGATTCAAGGCACCTAAACCCTAAACCCCCTACACCCCCTAAACCCTAAACCCTAGACCCTAAACCCTCTACACCCGCTAACCCCTGAAGGCCCAGGGCCAAACCTTAAACTACACCTGCAGTACGGGGACCTTTGTAGTCAGAACAGGGTTATTAGGTGGCACTATGCTCTACTTTCAAAAGGCCCTGCCAAAAGGGATGCTCCTTCACTACCCCCAAACCTCGAAGTTCATGGCTTTGTATGAAAGCCCCTAAGCCTAAACCCTAAGCCTCTAAACCCTATATATCCTAAACTCTACACCCCAGCTCTAGACCGTAAGCCATGAACCCTAAGCCCGAAACCCTGAGCCATAAACCCTAAGCCCCAAACCTTATCCCCTAAACTTACTCCCTAAACCCGAAGCCCCTGAGCCGGCCTGATAAAATGGGGGGAAGTTCAAAAGCCCGGTCAGGACCCGCTCGCCCTTGGCGTTGCGCATCAGGCTCGCCTGCCGACTTAAAGACGAAATGAACCCTGAAAGGGCTTAAGGTTCACATACCATGCAGGGATTCATAGTATATGGGTGTAGGGCCCCTGCCTTTAAGAGTTCCCCTGGCGAGTCACCAGGTCGAAGCCCCGAAACCCAACCCTTTAGGGTTTAGGGTTTACTGGGTTCTTGTTAAGGGATTTCAATTCTCTTACCATAATAATAAGGAAACCATAAACCCAATCCTGCTTAGAGGATCATGGGACTTAGTAAGAACCTAAAGGGCTCCTTTATTTAAGGGATCTACAAACGGTTCTATAAGGGAGGTTTAGGCTATAACCCCAATCCCTGCCCAAACCCTTAGCTTTACAGCTTCAATTGACTAGGTTCCTGAGTAGCCCCTTTATACTAAGGGTACCCTTTTTCCTACTATTGCGTTTTAATCCGAAACCCAAAGACCCGAAACACTAAGCTCAATGCCCTGAAATCCTAGCAAAGGGAAGACGAAGTGCTATATGGGTGTCCCTTTTGTGTCCCTAATATAATACGGCACCTATACTATTTAAGGTACCCAGAAAGGAACCGACAATTTTGACAACTACCTATGTAGATATTGGGAGTTCTAGATTGGCGGTACGGGTTTGGGGCTTTATGGTTTAAGGGGGTGTCGAGGAGGGCCTCTAGGCAACAGAGTGTGAGGACTAAGTGGAACCCCGAAGCCTGAACCCCACGGCAGGCGCCAAACGTTCAGAAGCCCTATTCTGCACCAAACCGGATACAGTATAGGGGGGCCTTAACAATTAACATAGGGTTTTGGTGTCTACTATAACTATGGCAACTATGGTAGATGATAAGGAGCCCGAGGAATACTAGTAGTAATTCTTCAGGCTTCTACAGTACTCCCTGAAAGCCCAAAGCTCCCATAAACTTGACGCTCGTGTTCCGACCAAACCCTACGCCCCAAAATCCTGAATCCTCGACCCCAACCGTACGTTATGTAGGATTTCGAAGCTTTTCGGTTAGGAGACTGTTTCCCAGCAAACCTCCTTCTTCGAGCCTACATGCGAGTCTCTCATTGTAGGGGCCTTAATGCCTAGAGTAAGGTTTAGTACGACTATATGAATATGAAGGAATCCTCAAGAAGGCTGTGTCAAGCATTCAGGCCTCTAGACTCTAGATTATTCTATATAGTTGGAGATTCGAGGTTTTTGCACTACTCTGCCAGCCCTAAGCTCTAAACTGTGGACCTTGGATTCGGGGTCCACAATCTAAACCTGCACGAAGGTCCTGCAAGGAGTAGGTTCTACCTGTGGCTCCAACCTACTCTTGAAGGGGGTTCTAAACGCCCACTATTTTGCGAGGTCGGGGCTACGCGTAAACCTTCCCACTCCCAAATCCCAAATTCTCTGCGAGACTGGGCCCTAGGCACACTCTGAAACCATGGAACGGAGGGTGTCAGAAACTACAATTTTAGGGGGTTTGGGGCTGCAGCTGCGTGCTTTTCTTTGGTGTGGCTGAGGAGGCGTGCTCGCGGAAAAGCCGCATTCGCGGCGATGCAACCCCTCCGCCCTCGCCCCATACAGGGAAAAGCAGAAACTTGCCTTTGGCAACCAAGGAGGTTCATGATAGAAATAACAATAGGTTTGGGTTTGGGATTTAACAGTTTAACATTTTGCAACGGAACCATTAATTCGTACTAGTCACCTCTGAACTGTAGAGTCTGGCATGAGTAAAGTCTAGGGGGTGCAGTGCTTCGAGGTTTTAGAGAGCTCAACCTTAACCTGTGGAAGTTCAAGCACCGATACCAAGAGCATCAGACGTTTCGGGGCAGTTGTGACTTTGGACTCCGCCATCCTGGAACCTCCAAGAAGTCTGCGCCAGGAAAAAGGCCTGATCAGTTGTCAGAGCCCCTTCCTGTGAAAGAGGACGACGGTCGGAGAGGCTGAGACTCTGTATGCACAGCCGTTGGTTCTGACCAAGAGATTGCCGTCAGTTGACTGGGCTTTGAAGTAACTCCGGTTGATGATATAAATCCTGCATTACCTTAAGGACCCTAAACTAGGGGATTTATGGTATATTCCCTATTATGGGTAATGCAGGATTTATACCATCAACAGTAGGGTATCTCCACTTATGTTTCATAAGGGCTCCTGTACTGTGCCCAGAGAGCCCAGTACCCCCTACTTGAGGAATCTCCCTTAAATCATATTGGGGATCCTACTATAATTTAAGATATATTCCTTAATTAAGGGAAATTGGGCTCTCTGGGTAAGGAACAGGTCCCGAAAAACACTAAAGTATGGTATTCGAGAGCCCAGTTGAAACAAAACCAAAATTCGAGCCCAAAATTCGAGATGGCTTGTGCAGTTCTGATGGTTTAGGGTTATTGGATTTGGGGTTTAGGGTTTAGTAAACTTAGTATTCTCACAAGCGTGTCTTGGTCTTCCAACTCCAAAAGCTCTTGAACGAGGACGTGTCGACCCATACACTAAACCCTCGCCTTAACCTTCTTGGTCCGTACCAGTCCTGTACTAGGGTTCGTCCGACCCCTAAATCCTACGCCTTAAACCCTAAAACCCTAAACCCTAATAAAACAAGTTAACCCTAAACCCTAAATCCTAATCAAACCAGGACACGTCGGCGCTTCAGGGGAACCGGCTCCAAAGCGAGCAGCTGGCTCCGACATGCCCTGCCATCTCCGATGCCAGGATGGTTTGAGGCAAGCGCGCTCACCTGGGCGCAGGGGTCTGGGGGTTTAGGATTTAGGGGTTTAGGGTTTAGGGGTTTATAGGGTTTAGGATTCAGGGTTTAGGGGTTTAGGGTTTAGGGCTTAGGTGTTTAGGGTTTGGGGTTTAGGGTTTAGGGTTTGGGAGTTTAGGTCTTGGGGGTTTAGGGCTTAGGACTTAGCGATCCCGGAAGTGGGCTCTGAATAGAAAGCCCTCAGAATCAAGGACATCTGGGTTGTGCTTTAAACCCTTTGAAAATTATTTATGAATAGGTTCCCTTTATCAGGAAATAAGGGAAATTAAAAGTTATCCCAAAGCACAACCCAGGAATTCTAAAGACGCAGTCCTTTAGGAAGCTTTCAACAGGCCTTCTGGCGGCTAGTTCCTCGCTTGGGCTTGGAGTTTATTAGGAGACCCAGGCATTGCAACCAGCCTAAACCCCTCAATCCCATGTTCAGCTTTGGGTAGGGTTTAGGGTTTAGGGTTTAGGGACCCTGAACCCAAACCCTGAACCCTGAACCCTATAGACCTACTATAGCATACACTCGGATTATCACGACCCCTACGCTAAAACCCCATAAGCCCCTCAAAGGAACCCTTAAAGGAACCTTTCTAACGAAATCCTAGGTCGGGCCTGCTTCAGCTGATGCCCGCCGTTCTCCTTCACGCCATCCGAGTCCCAGGTCACCAGGGATCCATCCTGGGACAGACAGCAGCGTTCTATGAGGGCTTTATAATTTGTTCTATCAAGCTCCGAAAACGGTTCGAAAGGGGTGCTAGAAGGGTTCTACAAGGACTCTATAGTTCTATGAGGGTTCTACTTAAGCTCAGTCTAGCAGTAGGAAGGAGGGAGGGAGGGATAGAGAGAGAGAGAGGGGAGAAAGGAGAGGGAGAGAGAGAGAGAGAGAGTTGGAAGTTTCAGAAAATCCAGTTCGTCAACATGGACACTCCCTAAGAGGATCCTTCTTGGATGGCAACCTCTCAAAAGTTGCTCTCTGATTTATGAACCGGCAGTTAGGGGGTAGGGCAAGATTCCAAAAAGTAAACTAACAAGCCCTAAACCCTAAACCCTAAACCCCTAAAGCCCTAAATGCTGTTTCTGAAAAGGTAAGGTTTAGAGTCGAGGGTTTGTGGAGGACCCTGCCAAATTAAGGTACCCCTAATTTTCGGAAACTCCCCATTTGAAGAGTAGGCATCTTCCACCTTGACTTCCTAGAGAAAACGTCGGGTACATACGAGAAGGATCCTGCCAGTACTGTTGGATAACGGAAAATATCTTTTGGGGGCCCGTATTTTCCAGATTTTGAAGTAACCAAGGGGAGCAAAGGTATGAACTTGTATTTCATAAGCGTTCCTTTAAGGAACAGGGCCCCGACTTAGTATTCAGTTATGGTAGCCTGGTATATAGCCCCGAAAAGCCCGTGAAAACCTCAACAGACCGCACCCTACATCCTGACCCTGAAGCCCTAAACTTCTAAACCCTAGGGGTTCAGGGTGTTCCAAATCCTAAACGGTCCCAGTGTCTTCCATGATGGCAGCGAAAGCCTCCGATGAAGAAAGGATCTGCCGCACGCCGCCCAGCTCGGCCAATGCGGCATAGCTCTCAAGGTTCCTTATGGGGTTTAGGCGTCGGGGTTGCTAGTTCATGGTCGGGATAAGATTAAAAATCCGTTTTTTATTCCTTATTGGGTTTAAGTACCCATGAAAATGTAAAATGTTACCCAACTATGACAAAGTTATGGGGTTTAGGCCTCGGGGTTTAGCGTCCAGGGTTTAGGGTGTAGGATGTAGGGTAGGCGGACTTAGGGTTTAGGAAGGATAGGCTTGGGGCTCGGAATTTAGGATGTAGTTCGGCAAGTTAGCTGCTCTCTTCCTACATTTGCGTGGAGAGTAACAGTAAGGTGGTACCTTAGTCGGGGAAAGTGTATGATGTAGCAACAACCTTAAGGACGAAAAGAACGCTAAAAGGGTTTAGGGTTCAGACACCTTATAGGGGTTCATAGTATAACTGTATAGGGGCCCTTCTTTTAAGGGTCATTTGGTCCTTAAGGAACGTTACAGATTTGTCCTGCGTTGGTAGTACTCCAGTCTTTCCCTGGGCCTCCAAATAGCAAAGTGGGTCTCATTTAACAGGGTTTAGGGTTTAGGGTTTTGGGGTTTACGGTTTAGGGTTTGTAGACGTAGACCGCAAAGTATCTACTGATTGTATACTTGGAGTCTTAGTCTTAGATAATTATCTGCATTAAGACCCCTTGTTATTTCACGGTGGGACCAGTCGCTTCAACCTTCTGTTTA